CCTGCCACAACACCCAGCTATTTTTTTGTTGTTGTTGCAGTTGTTGTTTAGCAGGCCTGGGCCAGGTTTGAACCCACCAGCTTTGGTGTACGTGGCTAGTTGATGCCCTACTCAGTGAGCTATGGGCGCCGAGGCATATGGTGAATGTTCTTTTTTTTTTTTTTGCAGTTTTTGGCCGGGGCTGGGTTTGAACCCACCACCTCTGGCATATGGGGTCGGCGCCCTACTCCTTTGAGCCACAGGTGCCGCCCTGAATGTTCTTATACATTAATCTTGTGAGTACCCTAGGAAAAAATACTAGAAGTAGAATTGCTATATTAGGCTTAGCACCCGTAGCTCAGTGGTTGGGGTGCCAGCCACATGCACCGAGGTTGGTGGTTTGAGCCCGGCCCCAGGCCTGCTAAACAGCAATGACAACTGCAGCAAGAAAATAGCCAGGCTTTGTGGCGGGTGCCTCTAGTCCTAGCTACTTGGGAGGCTGAGTCAAGAGAATCACTTAAGCCCAAGAGTTTGAGGTTGCTGTTAGCTGAGATGCCACGGCACTCTACTTAGGGTGACAAAGTGAGACTCTGTCTCAAAAAGAAAAAAAAAAAAGAATTGCTATGTTAAAGAGTATGAACATTTTTAAGTCCTTTAATACATCCTACCAAACCGGTCCTATAAGAAAAATAAACCAACTTGTAGCCTCTTCAAAACTACGTAATACTACTTTGTTTTATATTCTCCAGTTATATTTTTAAATTTTTTTAATGCCAAAAAAAGTGTTATTTCAGAAGTTCTAGGGGGCTGACTTAGGGGGTGGGGGTGAGAGAGGAGAGGTGCTGTGGTGACCCCTCTCCTCTTATGCCACCCAGTGCATTCTTAGTGGATATTAGCACCTGACAGAGATAAGGTCAGGAAGGGGGGCTCTGGACCCCACAGGGCATGTTGGCTGGAACAGCAGTATCTATCTGCAGAGGTTTGGGCAAATTCATATTGTTCATGACTTTGATTAACTCCTCACAGCTGAGGGAGAGCCAGCGGTTTAGAGTCTGCTCCTCCTCCATGGTAGACACTGTGAGCCCATGGTAATCATGAGCAGGGTAGATCAAACAGTCTCTTGGAATAATGAAGATCTTTTTGTGAACGGAATGGTACAAAGTCTTAGCACAGCCTGCATTCCCAGCTGTTTGGAAGGCTGAGATGGGAGGATCTCTTGAGACCAGGATTTCAGTGTTATAGTGAGCTATGATTGTGTCACAGCACTTCAGCCTAGGTGACAGAGTTAGACCCTGTCTCTAAAAAAGGGAGGAATTGAGGGAAGGAAAAGAAACGGAAGGAAGGAAGGGCCCAATTGTCTTTTTTTAATTTTGTTTTTCCACGCTACAAATTTATACTGCCCTTTAAAGCAAAAGAAATGCCTATTTATGTCTTTAAAATAACCACTTTAAAACTAAATTTTACCTATATCTTTTGTTAAATAGATTTTTGCCCCCTCTTTCCTCATTGGATTTTGTTTTAGCCATAGGCAAACAGTTTTCTTTATACCAACAATCTGCGTGTACCTCATTACTTTGTTCTTCCCAATCACTGAGACATGCTGCTATCTCAAGCTTTACCACTAAGAATTGAACAGGAGTTGATTAGACCTATGTATCCTTTGCCTAATATTGATCCTGGTGTGTATCTGTTGACCACTGTATGAGGTATTAAATCATCAGTTTAATGCTTTCTGGCCATTTAAACTTAGAAACCTATACCATCTGGCTGTGTTTAGTAAACCAAACTACCTCAAAAACTGCCTGTAATCCATTAAGGTAATGGGTTTATTTGGAGTGTTAGGTGAAATTATTTCCAAAGAATTATTATAGGTACATTGTGATCGGGAGCAAGCTGGTGGCAGCCATTAAAAACATAGAAATGCATTTTGGAAACTTCTGATGGTGTAGAGAGTTTTAAAATAAAGATTCAGGAATTGTACCATCATTGTATTTTGTATGAAGAACTAATTAGTATATCCTTAATTGGCTTATAGTCATGTTCCTTAATAAGAATTTGGTGATGGATGCCTCCATCTGCTTATGCTTAAATATGAACATGTGATGTCAGCCAAACAAAATCCATTTAATGCTTTCTTTCCAAGTCTACTGAAAATGTGACTGATATCCATACAATCTTTATACTAAGAATAATGTTTAAGCACATTTGGATCATTGCTAATGGCATCCAAGTGCATCTTTATAATTCAGGGGAAAGGTATAAAATGAAATAATGATATTCCCTTTCCTGTTAAGTTTGTACCTAAGGGACTCACAGTATTAAGGCATCCTTCTGAACTATTTACATCTTTAGAAAACTTCTGATAATGTAACCTGTGAATAGAAATAACTGAATGTTTTTGTCTCATTGTGAATTTAGAACAGCAATCAAAAGAAGCTTTTAATGAGATCATCCCATTTTATAGGATTTTTTCTTCTGATGCCTCATAGTACACTGGTTAGTGGAGAACTTTAATTGGGAAGCCCATCCATCTAGTCATACATCCAAAATCTGCTCTCCACTGTTTTCCTCTGCACAGTCTACAAAATATTCTTTGAAATGCTAACCAAGTTATCTATTATAAGATTTTTTGTTTGTTTTTGCTCAACTGTCATTTATGTTTTATAGCACCAGCTATTCCCAAATACAATTTTTTTTAAACATCTGAAATTAAACTCATCCTTGAACTTAAACATACCTCTTTCTCTCGAGATGTTGTCATACCACTCTGTACTTTCTTCTCTCTTTTCTGCATGTCCAAAATTCTATAACCCAGCACATTCTGACTTAATGCCTCTCCCCCAGTACATTTAAAGGATATTTCTTCTACTGAACAGCTTTGGAACTGCAGTAGTAATAGAAACAGAATGAGGAATGGACCTAATATAGAGATTTGGAGGGGGGGGTTGTCTGAATCACAGAGTTGAGGTGCCATCTATAGAACATCCCCTAGTGCTAAAATCCATATAGATAGATGTGAATTGTTTTCTGAATTCCTTTTTATTTTTAATGTCTTGGGGGGGTTGCTGGTTGTTAGCTTTAACTTCCTTATCTAAAGGAAGATGGAAAATACTGTTTATTTCTGTAACCTTATAGAAAAATTATTGACACTCATTTTACCCAAGCCTCTGTTTGAAAAAGGAACTGAACCACACTAGGGACAGTGATGTGGCTTCATAGCACAGCAAATGCTTTTCTGTTTTAAAGGACCTTTTGTAAAAAATCGTTCATCACCCTTACATTCTTTTTCTTTGCCTCCCCCCACACACACACCAAAAGCTCGGGGTTTGGATCATATTGCTGAGAACATTTTGTCGTATCTGGATGCCAAATCACTATGTGCTGCTGAACTAGTGTGCAAAGAATGGTACCGAGTGACATCTGATGGCATGTTATGGAAGAAGCTCATCGAGAGAATGGTCAGGACAGATTCTTTGTGGAGAGGCCTGGCAGAACGAAGAGGGTGGTGAGCTTTTTAATGTTCTTACTGTTATAGAGCTTCAAAGCCTAGCCATTCAGAGTCATTGGAAACACTGAGACTACTTGTCATTTAATACACTGATTTTTGCTGATTTGTAGCTAAAAATGTAGCAGAGAATAGTTCATGAACTCAGCAGTTTTTCTTCTGACCAATCACTCATAAAATGTCATAATATTGTGTTAATATTGCTTTGCAGAAATAGTGGGAAACTGACCAGCCCTCCTATTTATAAAGCATTCTGTTCTCTGGACAAAAAATGGGTATCCTGCAAAAGGGATAATGGGCAATTTATCATGCAAGTAGATGTCTTTGAATCACAAAGAAACCATCGAATCTTTCCCCTAAAATAATCCAGGACAAATGATTTTCTTTTCCTTCAGAAGATTTCTTGCCTTTAGCCCATGCCTCTGGTGTTTTATCACCTTTGTAATGAAAAATTATTTTTTATGCCCAGCTAAAATAAGAACCTTAGCCATCAGAAAAAGTGAAAAATGAAATTTAGCATGAATCATTGTTTCTTCTTAAGACTTATATTTTCTCGGCTCGGCGCCTATAGCTTAACCGGCTAAGGCGCCAGCCACGTACACCTAAGCTGGCGGGTTCAAATCCCCAGCCCGGACCCGCCAAACAACAATGACGGCTGCAACCAAAAAATAGCCGGGCGTTGTGGCGGGCGCCTG